GGATCCCACTGATTTATCCCCTCCAGCATCCCTGGATCCTGCTGATTTACCCCCCTCCATGGCTGGAGCATCCCTGCATCCCACTGATTTATCCCCTCCAGCATCCCTGGATCCTGCTGATTTACCCCCCTCCATGGCTCCAGCATCCCTGGATCCCACTGATTTATCCCCTCCAGCATCCCTGGATCCTGCTGATTTACCCCCCTCCATGGCTCCAGCATCCCTGGATCCCACTGATTTATCCCTCTCCATGGTTCCAGCATCCCTGGATCCCGCTGATTTATCCCTTCCAGCATCCCAGAATCCTGCTGATTTATCCCCCTCCATGGCTCCAGCACCCCTGGATCCTGCTGATTTATCCTTTCCAGCATCCCTGGATCCCATGGATTTATCCCCCTCCATGGCTCCAGCATCCCTGGATCCCACTGATTTATCCCTCTCTGTGGCTCCAGCATCCCTGGATCCCACTAATTTATCCCTTCCAGCATCCCTGGATCCCACTGATTTATCCCCTCCAGCATCCCAGAATCCCGCTGATTTATCCCCCTCTGTTGCTCCAGCATCCCTGGATCCCGCTGATTTATCCCTTCCAGCATCCCTGGATCCTGCTGATTTATCCCTTCCAACATCCCGGGATCCCACTGATTTATCCCCCCCCGTGGCTCCAGCATCCCTGGATCCCATGGATTTATCCCCCTCCATGGTTCCAGCATCCCTGGATCCCGCTGATTTATCCCCCTCTGTTGCTCCAGCATCCCTGGATCCCACTAATTTATCCCTTCCAGCATCCCTGGATCCCACTGATTTATCCCCCTCTGTGGCTCCAGTCCCTGGATCCCGCTGACTTATCCTCCCCCGTGGCTCCAGCATCCCAAGATCCCACTGATTTATCCCCTCCAGCATCCCAGAATCCCGCTGATTTATCCCCCTCTGTGGCTCCAGCATCCCTGGATCCCGCTGATTTATCCCTTCCAGCATCCCTGGATCCTGCTGATTTATCCCCCCTCTGTGGCTCCATCATCCCTGGGTCCCGCTGATTTATCCCGGTGCCTCCCCCCCCAAATCCCAGCTCCCGTTATCCCGGTTTTCCCACCCTCCGGCGCTGTCGCTCCGAGGCGTTTTTGTGCCGCCTCCCGGCGCCTCCTCCCTCCGGGAAGGGCCGGCCCGGGAAAAGGGGGGGTGGGAATCGGGCTCGGGGGGTGGGATCGGGCTCGGGGGGTGGAATCGGGCTCGTGCCCGCTCCCGGCTCCAGCCCGGCCATGCTGCGGGTCCTGCTCCAGCGGGCCACCCACCTCCCGAGCCTGGAAAAGCGGGAGAAGCAGAGCGATCCCGTGGCCAGCCTGACCTTCCGAGGTGAGGGATTCCCGACTTCGGGATGGGAGGGGGGGTCGGGAAGAGTTTGGGCCGGTTTGGAAGCCCCTTCCCACAGAGCCCGGCGTCCCGCTCCCAAATCCTTGGGAAATCCCCCCCCCATTCCCTCCCTGGGTGCATCCCCGTTCCCGTGTCCCGGGAGCGGGCTGGGAATTCTCTCCCCGTCCCTCCGTGATTTCGGGGCGCTTTGCCCTCGTTAGGGCGTTTTA